CCGGCCCGGGGCATGCACACCCGACCCGGAGCATGCACACCTGGCCCGGTGCACCCATGATACATTGCTAAGATTGGTAGACCGAGCAAGATCGCCGATTATTACACAGCCTGGCATGTTGCAGGATTCGTTATACAAGGGCTTAACGACAGCGTTGGCGCAAGAATTACTAGCTGTAAACTGGCCAGGAGTAAATTCAAGCTGGAGATGAGGAAGAGGTGGTAGAATCACTGCATTTGGCACAAAGTCCTATCCACAGAGTGAGAAAGTGAGGAAGGAGATGAGGTGTGAGGATAAGTTCGAAACATAGTAAGAGACAGTTGTTCACCTGTTACTTGGGAGAGGAAAACCAGTAATCACATCTTAAAAGAACTATTTTAACTATTTTAAGCTATCAGTATTCCATCTAGTCACCAGTTACAATATTAACATGCTTAGAAAGGACATTTCAGAACAAACTTTGCCATGTACCTAACTTTAGAATCTCACAGTCCACATGACAGGAAAAAGCAGAACTACTTTCTTACCACAAGATTAGAAAACTTAAAAGCTATTTAGCAGCCACAAAGAAAAGCAGCGACATGTTCCTTTGCTGGAACCTAGTCTGAGAATATATTTTGTGTGGCATGTATTATGGCTGTTGAAAAGTCCCTAGGAATACCTTGAACTTTCCCTGTCTGCTTCCAGAAAAAGACATAACCATAAATCCTTTCCATAGATATTGCCTCTTCAGCAGCTTTACTCCCCTCCATGAAAAAAAGGAAAAGAAAGAAAAAAAAAAAAGGAAGAGCACTTGCAAGCCATGATGAGTTCACAAAGGCATAATAACAAAAACATGATATATTCAAAGTATGGCACACACGTAGAGTGAATAAGAGAAACTTATAGAGAAAAAAAATTGTGGCAAGAGAATAAAGCATTCATTTTTGTGGCTGGAGATGCAGTCAATTATCTTCAGGAGATGAAACAATTCTTACTCCAACTACTTGCTCTTTCGAGCCTAGACTCTTTAACTCCACAGCTTCCAACTATTTTCAAACCCCAATCATCCTTACATTACTAATTACACACGAGTAACCCAACAAAGCCTATAGAGTCAGTTTTCCACAAAGTCAGTGTGCACAGAAGGTTACAGTGTGAGAAGTAGCTGTGATACATGACTCCAATAGTGAAACATGGCTACGAAGGTCCTTGCTTATGCACTGCTCATTATTGCCAAAAGAAACTTGTTAATACAACATGTTGGTTAATTCCTCACATATTCTTAGTAAGCTTTCATTATGGTTTAACACCAGCCAGCAACTCAGCCCCACACAAACTCTCATTTACTCCCTCCCAGTGGGATCAGGCAAAGAATCAGAAGAGCAGAAGTTAGAAACCCTATGCATCAAGATAAAGACAGTTGAACTGGTGAAGGAAGAGCCATGCATGCAAGCAAAGCAAAACAAGGAATTTCTTCACCAATTCCCATGGGCAGTCAGGTGTTCAGCAATCTCAAGGAAAGCAGGCTCCATCACAGGTAACCGTTACTTGGGAAGACAAATACCATCACTCCAAATGTTCCTTACTTTCTTCTTCTTTTCCCAGTTCTGCATATGGTGAGCATGACATCATACAGTATGGGATATCTCTGTGGTAGTTGGGGGTCAGCTGTCCTGGCTGAATCCCCTCCCAGCTCCTTGTGTGCATCCCCTGCTTCCTCACTGTTGTAGTGGGCTGAGAAGCAGAAAAGGCCTTGGCTCTGTGCAAGCACTGCTCAGCAGAAACTAAAATATCCCAGCGTTATCAACACTCTTTACAGCACAAATCCAAAACAAACCCCATGCTAGCTACTCTGATGACAAATAACACTACCCCAGCCAAAACCAGAAGAGCTACAAATACTTGCTAACCTTTGAACCAGGACCTGTTACCAACCTATTAAAACAGTTTATCAAGTCTAACAAATCTGTATATATTTTTTCAAAGCATATAAGCCTTTCTTGCTTATGTCACATCTGCAACAACTTTAATGACATGTAGTTTTCCTTTCAGATCCCAAACTGGATGTAGAATTTAAGGTTTAGAGCACTAGTTCTCTATAAATACTAGTCGTAGAGTCAAATTCATGGCTGATGTCCACAAGGTAAAAACATATGAAGGACAATTGCATTAAGAGTAGCTTCCTTCACAGATGTCCAGGATATTATGAAATGCTCAGCACATGTGGAAATACATATTCCTTATTATTGCTCTGTATACTTGTGGAGATCTTAGAAAGACTTGCATTGCAATCAAGAAAGTCCTTAGTACATATTTACATCATATTAATATTTTTTTTGTCAGCAGCTGCACAATGCTGTTGGGAAATAGTTTAAAATTACTCTAATGTGACCACATGATAACCACATCCTTTTAGCATTTCATGCAAAATCTGTAGAAGGCAACAGAAACTAGCAAACTGTTTTGTTCAGTTATCATGATCAAGGCCTTAGTAAATTTCAAATTGGTATTGAAATACCATAGCTTGTCCTCTCTTTGAAACTCCAGAATGACCTCTTCTTAATTTCTCCAAGTACTTGAAACTTGACAGAGGTCTCTTGCATGTGGGTGGCTGCTCTTTTCTACATCTGGAGAAATACACATTTCTCCCTCAGGGCTGGTGAGCAGAAGTTCTGTGGATATAAAACAAGAAGGCTTCCAGCTTGATTTTCCATAGGTGTGAGAAATAATTTCTGTTTTGCAAGAAAAATGAGATAATTTTATCCTATGATATTTATTTATTGCACATGGCCATGTTTTGTATTTCTGGAGACAGATGTGAGATTAAAGTTCAGAACTGAAATTCACAATTTATTGTTCAGAGTTCAGCAGTGTCATGGACCTCTCTTGGGAGTCTGCAATACCTGATACTTTCATCTGCCTACGTGACTGCCTCACCACACTGTGCCACTGTCTAAACTACTCATTACTCAGTTCCTGAGTCTCCAGTTTACAATATGGCACTTAAAACATCCCTGTAGTCTGACAATTTGAAGAAGACAGGTTGTGGTTGCCAGGGTGAGTACAAGGGGAAGATAAATGTCACCAGAGCAAGAGACAAGGAGAGATAATGGGGAAAAGGAGCAGGAGGAGGATGGCTGAGACAAGAGTGAACCATTATAGTCTCACTGCAGTACTGCTCTCCTGAAAAAGTCCCCACGTTCTGTTCCCATTTTGATCAGAGTGGAAAAAGAAAGGAAGGCTGCCAGCCTGGAAAGGGAGACAGTCAGGGAGAGTCAAGGAACTGAATGGCAAGTGCAAAGGGTAGTAGCTGTAACCAGAGGGTTTTTAAATATATGCAGCAAGATGGTGAGTACAAATGGATCACTCAGAACAGCAGGATGGAGAGAATAAAAATTCTTGAATGCCATGTGACAGCAGCTCATCTTCTTCTCCCCAAATCTGAGTTTATAGGCAGCACATTATGCTGTTTGTAATATAACTAAATTTTGAGAGGACCAAGTTCCTCTGCTGGGGCTGGCTGCTCAGTGAAGCTGCAGGTGAGCATCTGCACTGACACCACCTCAGCCCTTTAGAACCCTGCATCTGGCAGCTCCTCATTTTCTAGTGCTCACATTACACCACTCACCCAGCCTCAAGTGCACTGGAAGTACTTCTAGCACAGGACTGCAGTCCTTGGTTTAAACAGTTCATTCTCCATGGCTGTGTGCCAGCATTTGAACTGCAGGGTGCTCAAGGGAAAATGCAGAGCTTAAGAAATTAGCTACTACTTCTAGGAATATAGAGAGAAAGGTGGAGCAGGTGGAGTAGTACCAACAGCTTGCAGAACACCCACATGAATGCTGAGCTCATGCTGTGCAATGAAGCAGATCTTCCAACAGGATCACATGCTTTCATTAGTTATTAGACAAAAATAAGACTCCCACTAGGCTACACCAACATCTCCACAGAGTTCAGTGCCAATGAAAACCTCCTCTCTACAAATACATAACTTTTATCTCAGCACAGCTTTGTTTTCTTGCAACTGTTCTAGGAAAACTGCTTTTTAGTGGTGGGCTGCTAGAATATTAGACTATACTTTGACTGTTATTATCATTTTTGCTGTAGTACAAAGCTTTCAGATGTGCATGCTTCCATCTCCTGGGCTGAATGTATATAGCACTTCCTGGAGATACTGATGCGTCATAGGCTGCAGACTTCTTATCCTTTCAAGACCTTTAGGGCAGATAATGGTATATTGTTCCACTCACTACAAAAACTGCCCTGTAGATTAGGTGCTTTTGAGGCTTTTCAAGGGCACAAGTGATGGATGGATATAGGGAAAAACATTCTCCCCTGAAGAGGTGGGAAAAAAGTGAGCAGTATTATTTGTATGTGCTGTGCTTGCATGCTTTCTGAGCAGTACAAAGGAAATTACATGTTCCTACTTCTTGTGGAGGAAGAGCTCCTGTCTCACAGGAGCTGCTAAATTAGAATATCTATGTTGGAACTGCAGTGGTTGCAACACATTGGGGTATTGCAGCAGGAGTTGCAGTTCAGAGTTTCAAGCAATATATGACAGCATTGGAGGTGCCAAATGCACACAGCACAGAGGCTGCTGTGTTAGCAGTGGGCAGGGTTGTTCCTACCCACTTTGTCCTTGGTAGCTCAGTTTGCAGGGAGAGGACAGCTCTCATACTGTGCTTCTCTCTCCATGACTTGCTCAGAGGTTGGCTTCTGTCCTTTACAGATCTCTGTAGTGCAAATGTAGGTGACTGCCTCAGAGTTGGCATGAGCTGTGTCTCACAGCTGGAGCCTGGAAGTGCTGCAGCCTCCAGCCAGCATTTCCCTGGGCAGGCTCTGGAAAAGTTGTGCAGGCTGAGCTGGGCAGCTCCAAGACAACCGAGCAGGTTCCACTTTTCCTCTCTGTCTTCCTCTGCCCTGACCAGCTGCAGTGAATTGCTTTGTGCACAGTGTCCCTTCCCTAACTGTATTTACCCTACAAACTGCTGCTTGGCAACACCAGGAAGACCAAGGAAGAGCATATTGTGGAAAGAGTGGCTAACAACGCTGGTGACAAATATGTTTGATTGCACTAGCCACAAACCAGGGCTATCAATATTTGTGACCTACTTTTATTTTATCACTATGGTCTTTTTACAAAGATAGTGACATGTAGAATACCAAACAGTCAAGTCATCCATCAGAAGCAGCGGGGATGGACAAAGCCCCGTGTCAGACTGACAGCACCCAAGTGAGGAACACGTGTCAGTGCGGTGGCCGTGCTGCACTCGCCATCAGCTGAACCACCTGTGCGTGTGTGACAGGAACAGGGCTGAGCAGTCGCACTTATGAGGCTTCTGATCTACAGCTCAGCGCTGTGACCTGCTGGCAGAGAGGGGCATTAGGGTGTTTTCTCCATGTTCCCTGTTTCTTGGCTGCCAGGACAGAGGGACGGTGCCAGTGAGGCCAGATGGCTTTGGCAGCACCGGGTGCCCGTCCTGCCCAGGGAAGCAGCCCAGGTGAGCCCTGGCCGGTGACCCAGCCCGAGGTGAGCCCTGCCCGGCTGCCACAGCTGGGGATCCCCCCAGAGGCTGCTCCTCCAGATCAAATGGATACTATAGGCACTTAAGTTATTTCTCCATTAAAAGAACAACGTTCCTGTTTATGGAACGTCTTGGGTGATAGTTTTCCTTCGGAGACCTAACTGGCACCGTTCCTTCCCTAAAGGAAAGTAGCAAACCGAGTTTCTTGTGAGACTTTATTTAATCTTCCTTGAGGAAGGGCCTCTGCTGTTACTGCTGGGGTCAGCCTTTGGGAACAGCAGAGGTATCTCCCATAGAGTATTTGTTTGACAAAGCCACCTTGCAGTTGTTGCTTACAGCTACTCAGTTTCATCCTTTAATTTCTGTTTCGAACCACGTCCCAGCTCTTGGTTTCAAACCTGCACCAATCTCCCGCTGCCGCGGACACGGGGCAGACAGGCCCAAAATCAGGCACCGCGACGGGCAGCCCCAGCTCACGCACGCGCGCATCCAGGCCGGGGTCCTGTGGCACTATAAGAGCGCGCGGCGGCGGCGCCGCCCCCTCTCTGTGCAGCGGCGCGCGGCGGTGCCGGGTGAGTGTCCGCGATGGCGCCGGGGCCCGGCCGGGCGGGATCCCCCCGGCCCTCGGGGCATCGCGGCGGGAGCGGGCCGGGCGGGGGCCCCGGGGCGGCCGGCGCCGCTCACCGGGGCGGCCTGTGTCTGTATTTGCAGTAGGAACCCAGGCGGGGACCGCACCCACCGAGAGCGCCATGGCCGAGGAAGGGTGAGCAGGGCCGGGGCCGTCGGGGGCGGCGGGCGGAGGGGCCGGGTCGCTCCGTGGCGCGTCCGGCTCGGGAGCTCTGGCTGTGCCGCGTGTGCAGGCCCCGGCGCGGTGCTGCTGCGTGCTTCCTGCAGGCCGGGAGACGGGCGCGGAGTCCGCCTGGCAGGGCCGCTGTGCGCATGGCGTCCTCGCCTCCCCAAAGGAGCATGGAGGCAGCATGGCCCGGTGGCTCGCCAGGAGGATTTAGTGCCTTCGCTTCTTTCGAGTTCGTCCTTCGTCTGGTTTTCCTTTGGCGTAGTGCTTTAACTTGCTTTTTTTCTGTACTTTTTTAATGGCCGGATGCTTGCAGGTGAACGGGAAGCTTTTGCTTGTAGCTGAAAGTTGTTGGCACGCTGAGAACATTGTGTGTCTTTTCTTTAGCATTACTGCTGGAGGTGTAATGGATGTTAACACCGCTCTGCAAGAAGTGCTGAAGACCGCACTTATCCACGATGGCCTTGCTCGCGGTATCCGTGAAGCAGCCAAAGCCTTGGACAAGTAAGTGTGGTGTCACCAGTTTCTCTGCTGTGAATAGTAAAACTGGGTGAGACCTTGTGATGAGGTGTATTGAACACCTGCAGTGGCCATTTTGTTCACGTGTTCAGTTTAAACTTGCACAAGATTATAGCTTTCTGCCAGTAATTGTTGTCTTTTGGGGCCTTTAAGAGGAATATTAAAATATAAAAGCTAAACTCAATAGTTAAAGAATAGCAGGATCTGGTGTATTAATTTCTGTAATTTTGTGGCCCCAGTGCCACCGAGTGTTCATATGGGTGTATGGGTTTTGTGAAGAAAATTTAATCGTGCCTGCTGTATATGGCTATGGAAATCTAGGTTTCAAGAACTTTATATTTTAAGAAGTAATCTCAAAACTTTGGATGATTTTAATTGGGTTAATATATATTTCAGACTTTTCTTGGAAAAGTTCATTTCTTTTTTATGAAAAAGCCTTAAATTCATAGTTTTCTTGAACTTTTTTTTGCTGCCTTTTTTTTGTATATTGCAACAGTAAGTAAATTGTCAAGGTGCAATATCGAAACAATGTTGAACTTCTGTGCCAGTTATTGGGTAATCAGTTATGGTCTTTTCTAGGGCAAAGTATATCTGTATATACAGGTATGCATACACACCTCTGTGTGTGTTTATTTGCAAATCCGTACTTGCCTTGCAAGAAAAATCTGCTTAAATGTAAAGCTACAGTGTTTGGGTGATGACTTCTCAGTTAGTCGGATACCCCTTCACTCATCCTGTGAGTGATAACTGCTGTCTGACAAACCTGTATGCAGAAACCTCTGGGACAAGGCACTAAACAAGGGCCGAGAAATCCGGTGAGCTTAGATGGCTCACAGCTGCTTTGTGTGAGTTCTCTGACTTCAGCTCCTGCTTTATAAACTGTGTTTTAAGATGATGTGTGTGTGAGGCTTCTACACATTTGTGTGCAATGGTTCTTGCTTGGAAACATTTCTGGCATTCTGGTGGCACTCCTGATAAAGAAGGTCTTTTTAGGGAAAAGTGACCTTGTTTGCAGAGGTCACGTTTCATTAGGTTAAGCATAGAAGACCTACTCAGCTCTCTCTGTTGTCAGGTATCCCTTTGGTATCTTAACATTGTACCACAGTATACAAAGATCCTAATTAGAATTGGGGCCCTGTCATTACAGCTTCTCTGAACGTAAGTAGAAAAGATTGTTCTAAAGAACTTAAAAACACCTTGGTGTGAACATTCAAGTGTTAGTAATTAAAATTTTAATGTTACATTGCTATAATTGTGGTAAATATGAAAAAGTCACTTGTAACTTGGTTGCTTTGTAACAATGACAGCTCTGTAGGGTACCTGGTGTTTATGCAGTCATCAGACTTTTTCCAATGGCTGAGAATTTATTTAGTGGGGTTTTTAGAAGCTTTCAAAGCAGGAATAGAATCTGAAGATAAAGCTAACAATATATGAATAGCCTGTAATGTATATATAAAAAACATTAAAAGTGACAAACCGCATCAAAAGTATATTTCTTATTTCAAAAGCTTATGGTGTCTCATAACCAAAAGTTGAAGCATAGGAGATGGTTCTCTAGAAATGCATGCGCTGAATGCAATTGTTTTTTGTTTTGCTTATCAAAAAATTTTAATTGGTGCCTGAAGTAACATCTGTCAGTTCTCTTTTTCTTTAGACGCCAAGCCCATCTCTGTGTTCTGGCTTCAAACTGTGATGAACCCACATATGTAAAGTTAGTTGAAGCACTCTGTGCAGAACATCAGATCAACTTAATAAAGGTGAGTGAACTTAAAAAAAAGTTTGGAACAGTTATGCTGCTTGTTTCAGCATGTAGAGAGCTGAACCTTTAGAACACTATTGTAATTCTGTGTATGGCTTGCCTAGGCAGAACTTAACAGCAGATTGTTGTAGTTCTATGTGATTGCCATTTTTCCACAGTGCAAAACCTGTGGGTATAAATGGCAAGGGATGTGGATTGGTTATTTTGCACAGTTTAGGTGAGTTCTGGTGTCCTGTATAATAAGTAAAATTACTGCTGGGAGTGGAGGGCGGGAGGACCATTCCTGTGGCTCCAGGAAGGCTCAAGCTGTACGATGATGATACTTTGGCTCCCTCTGCTGATGCCTGTGAGGAAAGCAGCCATCCGTTACCCAATGCTTCTGACAGTACAGCAGCTTCTGGGCTGAGCCACCTGTGCTGGGCATGGCAAGCTCTGATGTGGTGTGATGCTCTGCACAGGTTGATGACAACAAGAAGCTCGGCGAATGGGTGGGTCTCTGCAAGATCGACAGAGAAGGAAAACCTCGCAAAGTGGTGGGCTGCAGTTGTGTGGTTGTCAAAGTAAGATTGCTAATTTTGTTTTATTTCTTGACTTCTGAAAATAGGTAGTAAACCTGCTTTAGATAAGGAACTGTTAAATACAACTCCTAATTTTTTTTTTGTAAATAGTGAATAGAAGCTGCTTTCCTGTATCATAGGCCCTGTCATGTTTATTTACTCATGTACATTTTGTGAGTTAATAGTTGTGTCCTCAATGCCTGCCTGGCAGTAATCATTAGAAGGAAAGGCCTACCTAGAAGATAGAAGTTTTGCTTTAGACAGAAAAGCCAGTTCAGTGTGTCTGCTCAACTTGAAAATGTTGTGTGGAGCTTATTTCACAATAACACTGGCAAAGTAAAGCCACAGTACGAGCCTTGAAGACTTTGTGGTCTCTGAGGTCCCAAGAGATGGCTACATCTTCTCAATGAAGACTAGTGCCTTCTGCATACATTTTCATAGTTATGCTACTTTTTCACATGTTTTGAGTTTCTTTAAGCAGAAAAGATTTTGTTTGCATTCCTGTCAGTGGGTGTTAATGTCAAATTTCATTCATTTGCATGCAATAGAGCTGTACTTTATTAGACTAGTCTTGTTAAAGAGCAGGGGAAAACTGGCAAATTGCTTGAGCTTACTTGTGTGGAAATTTGGAAATTTCTTGTGAAAAAGTGTCAGAATCCCATTTGTCCTTATGAAAAACAATTTGTGAAATTTAGGATGGGTCTGTCTTCACATTAACAATGGGTTGTTTTGTGTTACAGGACTATGGCAAGGAATCTCAGGCCAAAGATGTCATCGAAGAGTACTTCAAGTGCAAGAAATGAATGGCAAATAAATTTTGAACCAGTCTAGTGTATGTGTGATTAATGGTTTGGTGTCTGTGGAACAAGAGTTCTTTGTTCTTTTGAGTTGCAGAGTGTAGCATCAGAAGATGCAAAAAACTTTGCATTTGTTGGTGTGGTTTATTAGTATTTTAACTGAGTCAGTTTGCTAAAAAGATCCTGGGAATCCCTGCCACTATTCCTGGTTTTGGGTACTTTTGTTTTCTCTTCTACCCCAGAAGTTACCAGCTAGAACATGGCACAGATTCAAGTTGCAATAATGCAGGTAGTTAAATACTGTCTTTGCTTGCTGGTGCTTTGGTCTGTATTTCTAGGATTCTGAGTAACTTACCTAAAGTATTGGCGCCTCTGTGGTAATAATTTGGGTCCTGCTGAGACAAATGAGAAGAACAGCCTTAACTGTTTCCCAATTCTTCTGAGATGTTGCAGAATTTCTGTAAATGCTTTCTTAATTTATCAAGGGAAGTTAATGGACACAATATGTGTTTTACTTGTTCCTCTGCCTCAAATTGTGGGTGATAGCATCTTCTAACTAGTATTGTCATGCACTTGGAGATCTGATTCTGTAATTCTCAGTAGGTAGGGTAGCCAAGTAACTGAATTCTCACTTGCTCAGATTAGGCAGTATTAAACTCCTAACTTCCCCAGTGTTTTGGATTCTGTAGTTGTTCAGAACTTGTGTTTTTGTCTGTTTTTTTGGAGCAAGGGATTCAGACTGGTGTGATTTGTTATCTTCCTGCAAGTTGTTTCATGTCTTAAATTTTCTGCCAAGTAGCTCATAAGTGGAATGAGTCATAAGGAATTGCTGATTATGCTGATGTGTAAGATATGGATGTGAATATTTGGGACTGAGCACCTGTGGCTGAGGAGATGGGAATATTTATCTGTTTTCAGGCTCTTCACCTTAGATTTTTACTATGGTTTGTAATCCCTCTTGGGACCCCTAGTCATAAGTGTGAGAGCAAAGGCAGGCATCTTCTCTAGCTCAGCTCAGATGCAGTTTTCTTACAGCTCTTAAAGGGTCTCTGGTTTTGGCCCTGTCTACTACTTTGTAGTAACTACATCTGGGTGACTTGGGTTGTTAAGTTTTTTGTAGTGACATTGTCAGGTGTACTCAGTAAGGTCACCTGCTCAAGTAAGGTGTGTATCCTTCTGCTAAACTAATGCATGTTCTCAGAAAACAGACCTTAAGGTAATTTAGTTTGTTCAAAGGAGGCTGGCAAATCTTGTCAAGGGTCTGGGGCCAGTTAGGAAGCTGGTTATTTGGCCTGGAGGAGGCTTGGGGGACACCATGCCACTCTACAGCCATCGGAAAGGTAATGAGGTGAGGGTCTCTTCTCTGAAGTAGCAAGTTACAGGTTAAGAGAAAATGGCCTGGCGAGGTATTAGGAAATACAATCAGGCATTGAAGAATGCCAGGGAAATGGTGGAATCAGCAGTCCTGGAGGCAGTTAAAAGACCTGTAGATGTGACGCTTAAAAACGTGGTTTTGCCAGTATTTGGTTTGAAGTTGGACTTAAATATCGCTTCCAACATAATTTAATTCATATTTGTTGAGCCTGCAACCAAGTTGAGTAAAGTCCAGCTCACACAAACCATTTGGGTTTGCAAAATACTCATTTAACGTGTTTTAACTTGGTGTGAAAAAAAAACACAAAATGTTTTTTGCACTTGACTTATACCAGTGTAATGGCAACATTAACAGTAGCTGGAATATTGCATTTCCTTTTAATTGCTGTGAAGGGGTTCAAGTAAGGGGAGCTGTAGTTTACAGGCAAATTTGTTAGGCAGTGTTTCTTTCACTGCAGTGGAATGATGCCTCAGTACTAACATTCAGGAGTGTTATTTTTTTAGTGTTACCATACCATTTTACATAGCAATCAATGTTAATACCAGGGAATGGCATAGTTTCATGCCAAGTTTTTTTTTTTTCATTGGAATAGCATCAACACTTAGTTTTTTTTTTAAAGAAGGATTTAGATTGAAATTAAATTTTATATCAAAATGCTTATGTTTCAAATTAGGACTTTTCCAGGAAATGAAGCTTTACAAGTGACCTTGGAGCTTACGCAGAGTAAGCATTGGAGAACTGATTGTTTGCTTCATGCTTTTTACTTGTCCTGGGGTGACGTTATGATGCTTGTATATCCCCATTCATCTGTTCTGTGCCTTTAAGACCGGCAC